CCGAAGGCAGGAGCCAGGTGTGTCTCCTGGTCTCCCATGCGGGTGCAGGGCCCAAGGACCTGAGCCATCCTCCGCTGCACTCCCGGGCCACAGCAGAGAGCTGGACAGGAAGAGAAGCTTTGCTTGATTTTCTGTTATGAGTTTCTAAATCTGGGAAATCCAGATATGATCATGGAGATTGACACATAATTTTCAGAGATTGTCATTCATTTTCATAAATTAATATTTTCTTTGTAAAAGAAATAATTCATATTAACAGTGGTTTAAGTAGGATAGTCTCCACAGTTAGTAATGAGGGTTACTTAAACAATTGTATCTGTGAACGTGTGGATGTTTGTATACAAAAGAGGCACCAGCATGCCTCGAAGTAGACATGATTTTTAATGAAAGCGTGTTAGGTAACCAGTGAAATTTAGGCACAAATAGGAGAAGACACTGGCCTCTGAATGGCTCTAGGTGTCAAGAACTCCTTGAGAATCTTGTCAAGATACTGCTGCCAGATTGAGTGAGCACCAGCAACCTTCTGTACACTTGTGTGCTTGCTTCAATATCCAAAATCCTGAGACAGAGGACAGTTGGCCTAATTTATATCAATAACCCAACCATTGGCTAAGGAGTCTCTGAATTCCATTCCACCAAAACCATACACAATTTGAGATCATTTATTTCCAGAGTTTTTTGGAGTGCTGAGGAAATGGAATTAGGTGCTCGGTAGACCAAAGCCAGCCAAACCACCTTCATGTTCAGTGAGAGGAAAATAAAGCCCAGAGAGTAATTGTCCATGTTTTTGTCTCATTTGGAATTTGAACTGAGATGGTTTATTAAGTGCCCTATCTACTGCTTATTTTTATTATTTAAAGTCAATATTTCAATTTTCATTTGTTTATCATTTTCTTTATGTTTTGACCCAGAATTGTTTCTTCACTGATAGGAAAACATACTGGTAGCCACTACATACATGTACAAAGAAGACAGTGCTTGTTTGAAATAAGGTTGGATTTCCAACTCCTTGTGTACTGAATTCCTCTATACCACCCCCTAAACTGCCTTTGGGTCTTGATTTCCCTTCAGGCTCCCCACACTCAAATGACCTCAATCTGAATGTACTATCTTTATTCCAAACTTATTCAACTTTTTGTATTCCTTCTTTAGCAAGGAATTAGTTACTAATTACTCATTACCCAATCCAATAATGTTACTGTCATTCCAGATTCTACTTTTCTTTAACCCCCAATATCCAGTCACACATGATCAGTATTATTATCTGCTACACGTTTTGGACTCACCTATGTCTATTCCTCTACTCCTATCAACGACGGCCTGAGTCTCCCATCCGTTCTCCCTGCTCCCACTTCTACCCTCCTCCCATCCCTTCTCTTGGATCAGGTGTAAACTTCAGAGTCACAAACTTAAAGATGCTAAGTTGAAAATCTCTATTTTTATATAACAATTTTAATTCCTGGTCCTGAGCCTTAATGCTCTGGAGTATAGAAATCAAGTCTTGCCACTCTCAGGTAAAGTCAGTCCAATTCAACAGTTTCTCAGATTATTCAAGATTCCATACCTCTTCTCTTCATCTTATTTTCCAATAAACAATGTTGTGTAGGCTGGGACTGGAAAGGGGTAGAGAGTCTAGATATAACGAATGAAAATACAGGACATACAGTTCAATTTGCATTAGAGATAAGAGACTTTTTTTAGTACAAATAAATACCATGAAATATTTAGGGCACATTAACACTGAAAAAAACTATTCATTGTTTATCTGACATTCAAACTTCACTGAGCATCCTGCATTTTTAAAAAAGATTTATTTTATTTATTTGAAAGACAGAGTTAGAGAGAGAGGGAGAGACAGAGAGAGAGGTCTTTCATCCACTGGTTCACTCCCTAGATGGCCGCAACAGCCGGAGCTGCGCCGATCTGAAGCCAGGTGCCAGGAGCTTCTTCTGGTTCTCCCACGTGGGTACAGGGGCTCAGGTACTTTGGCCATCTTCTACTGCCATCCCAGACCATAGCAGAAAGCTGGATCAGAAGAGGGGCAGCTGGGACTGGAACTGGCATCCATATGGGATGCCGGCACGTCAGGCCAGGACTTTAACCCACTGTGCCACCCTGTCGGTCTCTGAGCATCCTGCATTTTTGTCTGGCAAACTCAATGGCAGCAGATCTTGATCTGTGTCCTTGTGAGTGTTACTGCATTTGCCTGCCGGGCTCCCTGACCCCAACCAGCACACTATTCTGAATATCCCCTGTAAGATGCAGGCTTTCCACCAAGCCACAGAGGCACCTTTCCAAGAGCAAAGCCTTCAGGGGAGAGACCAACAAGTGATTCCCCAGATATGTAAAAATAAACATAGAAATACATGAGGCTGGCACTGGAGTGTAGAAGGTTAAGCCTCTGCCTGCAGTGCCGGGATCCCATATGGGCACTGGTTCAGGCTGCTCCACTTCTGATCCAACACCCTGCTAATGGGCCTGGTAAGGTAGAGGAAGATGGGCCAAGTGCTTGGGCCCCTGCACCCAAGGAAGGTCCTGGGTAAGGAAGGTCCTGCCTCCTGGCTTCGGCCTGGCCCAGCCCTGGCCTTTGTGACCATTTGGGGAGTGAACCAATGGATGGAAGATTCATTCTCCCCCCTCCCCCTTCTCTATCTCTTTTTCTGACTTTTAAATAAATAAATCAGGAAAAAAAGAAATACAAGAAACATGGACAAGGAAGACAATATGACACCCAAAAGTAACAGAATAATGCAGTTGTACTGTTCTGTGAAGATAAGGAGATTTATGAAATGCCTGAAAAGAAATTCAGAAGAATTATTGTAAGATTACTCAGAAACACAGAGAAGCAATTACATGAAATGAGGAAATATGTACATGACATGGGTGAGAAATTCTGTAGAGAGATAGCAATATTAAAGAAAATCAGACTGAAAGTGAAGAATGTAATATGTCAAAAAATATGGTGGAAACTCTTAAAAATAGATTTGGTGATGCAGAATAAAGAATATCTGAATTAGAAAACAAATCTTATGAAATATATCTCAGACAAAAAAAAATTAGAAAAACTGAAGTGTTCAGTATCTATGGGTATCACCAAACAGCCAAATATACATACATGTCTTAGGAATTCCTAAAGGAATGGAACCAAATAATAGCTTAGAAAACCTATTCAGTGATAATAGCAGAAAATGTTCCCAATTAGGAGAAAACCTTGGACATCCAAATACAGAAATACACAAAACCCCAAATAGGCGTGGCCAGAAAGATCTTCACCACAACACATTATAGTGAAACTTCCAAAAGTAATACATAAAGAAAATATCCTGCTGTTTTTTTTTCTTTTATCTTTGTATTTCACCATTTTCTTTCTTAAATTTCTCTGTCTTGTTCTGTACCTCATCTGAGCCACTAAATAACAAATCCATGGCCAATGGAGACTAGCCATTTTTGTTTTGTTTGTTTTTTATTTTTATTTTTATTTATTTATTTTATTTTTTTGACAGGAAGAGTTAGGCAGTGAGAGAGAGAGAGAAAGGTCTTCCTTACGTTGGTTCACTCCCCTAATGGCTGCCACAGCCCACGCTGGCTGATCCAAAGCCAGGAGCTGGGTACTTCCTCCCAGTCTCCCATGCGGGTGCAGGGATCCAAGCACTTGGGCCATCCTCCACTGCCCTCCCGGGCCACAGCAGAGAGCTGGACTGGAAGAGGAGCAACCGGGACAGAATCCGGCGCCCCCAACTGGGACTAGCCCCAACCGGGACTAGCCCCAACCGGGACTAGAACCTGGGGTGTCGGTGCCACAGGCGGGGGATTAGCCTATTAAGCTGCGGCGCCTGCCTGTTTTGTTTGTTTTTTAAGCATTCAAGGTGTTGAAAATGAACACTGTATGGCTTCACATTTCCCAGGGTATTTTACCTGCATCATTCCATTTGTCTCCTTGAAGAATCTGGTGGCGAAGATAGGGCGTATAATAATACACATTTTTCAAATGAGAAGAACGAAGGTCCAGGGAGGTTAGGCATAACTGTACTGAATAGCTGTGTTTTCTTTCTGGGTTGTTTTTACTCCCCAGGAAATTGCCAGAAGCAACACATTATGGCAGTGGTTCTAAGTATTTTACTCCTTAAAACAAAGTAGAGTACTATGAAGCTCTGTCTGCCATCTTATTGTTCTTTTAAAGGAATAATAGCCATGTACAGCTGTTATCCTAAGATACTGTTTATTTCCTTTATAGAAATATATCACTTGAACATATTTACCACTTATTTTTACCACTTTTGTTAGGGATATTTTACCATTGAAATGCAAACTGCACAGGATGTTGAACCTATTTGACCTAGGACAGTGCTGGAATTTAGTAGGAAACTAAAAGCTATTAGTTGAATAAAGAAGTATAATATTCATATACCACTTTCCCTCTTTGCATATGATTTATAATTGAAGTTAGAAATGAATTGCCAACCTAACAAAACAGTAACTTGATTCTAACTGAAAATAATCTAAAAGATAAAATTGGTAATAGATTTCAGTAAACATTTTCTGCATGAGTGAGTGCTGAACTTCCAAAACATATATTGAAACTAGTGAATATACAGTACATTATGTTTTTGATATTAAATGGCAAACTTTATTTTTGCTTGGAAAATTGCATTGTTTTTCTTAGTTTGTTTTGGTGAGATCCTACTCTCTCTTGTATTTTTGTAATATTGTCAGTCAGCTAGCTTATTTATCCTTATCAAAGGGAGCTCAGTCCTAAACTGATATATTTATAATGTAATTTCATTAAAAATTTCTGTATTTAGATAGCTCCTGGTATCTTTCATTAAACTGAAGTTTGTCTCACTATAAATGTTTGAGGCACAGCTCTTTTGATAGCTTTCAGCGCTCTCACTGAAGGGAAAAGCGCTGTGCAATTCAACCTTTAATTATCAGAGAACAAAAACCCCGTGCGGATTGAGAGGCTAAGAATAAAGCTTTGCGTGTTCTGATTCTGCTCCCAGTCACAGGAACTCCTACAAGAAGAATATCTGCGTTGACATGCTGCGGGACGGTTATCACAAGTCCTTCACGGAGCTCTTCGCTCTCATGGAACAGTGGGAGGCCCTGAGGGAGGCCGCGAGACTCCGGTCCCTCATCTGGCAGCAGAAGCCCCTGGAGGAGCAGCCGGATAAACTGGACTACTTCTACCACTACCTGACCAGGGCTGAGGCTGCCGAGAGGAAAGGTAGGCGGAAGGAAGGCGGGCAGCCGGCACAGTGGAAACAGCACTGAGCACGCCGAGGGAACGTGTCCGCATCTTCCTTGTATAATTAGCAACACGAAGACAACATAACACAGTTTCACCTGGTCAGCTAAGCCTATTTGGGCAATAAGAGCGCCGGGTTAGGCTGGGCTGGACAGCCCAGACACGGGGACATTGGGATGGTGTTGTTCCAAGCCAGGGGAGACAATGCAGAGGGCCTGATAACAGCCCTGGAGTTCTCTAGTGGGTTGGGCTCTTTCATATCGTTAGTGGCAGATCTTCACAACATTCTTCTCATGTGATATGAATGTTGACTTTGGGGGGATGCTTTCAGAGAGCACCATCGCTTGGAAAGCACTCTGCTTTTCCAGATTCCAGATGATCAGCTTTGGGGTGCCTGAGTTGGAGTCCCAGCCCTGGCTTCTGACTCCAGCTTCCTGATGACGCAGACCCTGGAAGGCCGCTGGTGGTAGCTGAATTCATTTCAAGTCCTAGTTTTAGTTTTAGTTCTTGGCTCCTGGTTTCTGCCCTGGTTATTGAAAGCATTTGAGGGAGTGAGCCAGCTGATGGAAGCTCTCCATCTCTGTGTCTCTCTTTATGTCTGTCTCTCTCAACCTCTCAAAAGTGAGTAATAAATCATTTTAAAAAATAGTGTTTTTAAAGTCCAACTGATTTGAATCAGATAATTTATATTACCAAAGAGCGAAAAGCATGCAACTTACAAATGTAAATAAAATTAATTTTGTATTTTCCAAGACATCATTATAAATTTTTTACCTCCTAAAAGTTTTCCAGAAAGTTAATATATGTCAGATATTGAATAAAAAATCTCAACCATAATTATATTAATATTAAAGTATTTCTTAATTAGTCATCTTAGTTGATCATCTATCATCAAAGAAAAAAAGGAAATCTCAGAATTTGCCGTATAAATTTGGTATTCTAAAGTATTGTTTTCTTCAACTTTCTGGGTGAAAATAACATAGGACTCATAAAGAAAATCCCAAGCCCCAACTTATTATTGGCCAAAATTATCTCTTGTTCAGAATAACTCATTTATAGGGTTTCCTACTATGTGTGATTGAAATACAAAATTTTGTATTTCAAAATTGTAATTATTGCAAAAAAAGTTACTGGAAATACTTCAGTTGAAGGGCGTGCAAACATTTATATGGTCTTTTTTTAAAAAATGAATAATCTTTTATTCTCATTCAACACCTGAACTTTACTGGACTGTATTTCATTTCAAGCCTCTCTGTGAGAAAAATAGAGGATTAGGCAGCTTCCTGTTACCTAACACTACCGGGGTGGAAATTGGTGGGCTCTAGAAGCAGCAGTAAAGGGGCCCATGCATATTTCCCAGTAGATCCTAACCTGACTTCAGAATATTGACACACATACAGATATGGACAACCATACAAGTAAATAAGGGTATGTGGCAGGAAGGTGGGATATGAGGTCATTGTGTATTCAAATGTATTTAACTGTAGAGCTAACAAAAACTAATTTATTGGTGAACTTCAAAATGCTATTTTCATATACCTGCTCAAGAAATTAACTATTATAAGTAAAAATTGCTGTTGTAAAAACCTTACATTGTAGTATCAGTCTGTAATAACTCAGAAATGATATTTGTACTGGGACTGGAATTAACCAATATAAAATTTGCCCATTTGTCATTTTAAGTGGAATTTCATCAGATTCAATCTTTTCAATACAAGGCTTAAGTAGCATAAATATGATACAATTATCTGACTTGTTACAAAGTATCATAAATGCATTGTAAGCCAAGTAGACATAAAACATTTTGTAATTATAAGGAAACTAAAAAGCCAGATAGTCTATTTTGAGGTAGGAAACTCTCTAATTTATAATCATTTATTAAAACAAAAGTGCCCCATCTGTTAATAAAAATACTTCTCTAATCTCAAAACTAACAAAGTTCAAAACTAACAAAGTTCAAAACTTAAAGTATCCAGACCTATGCAAGTGGGCAGAGTAATGAAAGAAAATCAATTCTAAACTGGGAATCTTATCATATATTCATAATAACTAAGGTTGTATTTGTTAAATTGGCCAAAATTATCTCTTGTTCAGAATAACTTGTTTATAGGGTTTCCTACTATGTGTGGTGGTTGAAATAAAAATTTTGTAATTATTGCAAAAAAAGTTATTGGAAATAGTTAAATTGAAGGGCATGCAAACATTTATGTGGTCTTTTTTTAAAAAAAATGAATAATCTTTTATTCACATTCAACACATGAACTTTACTGGACATGTGATTTGAATAAATTAGAAATGTTCCAGAAAATGGGATAAGCATATTGGGTCTTACTAACTTGAATTAAATCCTAAACATTAGAATACACACACACATATAAAATCTGTTAATGGTGTCTCAAATTTCCAACCCATATGGTCATGGAGTCTGAGAAAATTATTCTGAAATAATATATTTCAGAGCATTCTCACTGCTTCTTACTGAAAAGACCATCACTCTTAGGGTCACAATGAAGTTCATTTAATCAAAGCTATGGCACTAACAATAGAAATCTCAGGTCAGTTTTTTTTTTCTCTTGGGATGTCCAGAACCATAGCCTAATATTATTTAAATTACTTTACAAAACATCACTTGCTGTTTTGTAGCAAAAGCTTGTTTAAAGTGAGCCAATCATTTCTTTTTGGATTATTTTCCACTTCTTAAAATGTTTCATTGTCTCTGATAATTTTCTGTTACCCATTGTTGTAAATCATCTCCATACCATCTGCAACGTTATGACTGGGGTCTTGAGGCCCATGGGACCGGGAGAAGATGGCAGTAATGATAACGGTAGTCAAATCAGTAGATGATTCAAACATTATTTCCAGTTGACTTTTAAATTATTGTCAAGGATTAGGCAGCAGTTTTTTTTCTAATAGCATTTGTTTAAGATACACAAACTCTACTCAAGCAGAGTTCCACAAGATATTTATAGCTTTTATACAAAGAAAAACAAAACATAAAATGATGAAATACGTTTGAAAATCATGAAGCACATTCACATGGAAAGTAAGCATGGTGCTATATCGAAGGGCCTATCAGAGCCCTTAACAAGCTGCTTGGTTTGCTTAAAAAAAGAAATTTGAAGGTATAAATAAGCAGTAATACATTTGATTTTCCTCTTAACATTCTTATTGCCAATTCAAGCCTGTGGTTTATAAGCCAGGAGAAATGCTGCTTGTAGAGAATATAGAGAGCACACATTTGGATTATCCGAGGATTAAAAACTTTAATATATTTCTTTATTCTTGATATTTTGAAAAACATTCTAGTTTTTCCATAGAAAAATAAGTTAGCTGACAAGTAGTCTTTAAATGTGACACCTTGATAGTATATTTAATGATACTTCAAAAATTTGATGCAAAATAGAATAAAAAAGGTAAGTTTATTTTGGTGCAAAAAATATTGAAACCTATGCTTATGTAGAGTCTTTTTAAAAAGTTCATATGAAATGAATATAATGAAAAATCAATGTATGAATTTCAAAATGTTTGCACCCAAATGAATTTGTTTTTAAATTCCATTTCCCATGGACTTTTTGAAGTATTCTCATTTTTTTAAAAAATTTGTATATAAAATTTTTTACTAAGGCTTAGTAACTGAAAATGGGAAAATTATGAAAGGAGCCCATTTCCTTTTCAGGCTCTATGTGTACCTTTTGTTAAGATGGAGAAAATGAAATATTTTACTTGCTAGCTTCTAAAAACAGTAGCTCTCTAATCAGTAAGCAATACCAAGAATACGGACTACTACAAAATAGACTTTAGGACTCTACTTGTGTTAGGTAGGAGGTTCAGGAAGGAAAGCTATGGCTCAGGGGAAGTCATATGTGAGTATAGAATCCATGTTGTAAATAAATAACTTGGGTTACTCTCCACACTTCATCTGGGCTCTGCCTGTGGTGAGCGCCCTCAAAGAGCAGAATGGCCTCCCACATTCCTGGCTACTCCCAAAATAGAGACATTTTTTATTATCTTGTTTTGAAATACATGTTATCTTGAAATAAATATTATTTCCCATGGAAATGTGAAGAAATATGTGTACAAGAATGACACAGATTAAACATTTCCTTCAAAATATGGAATGACTTGTTTACAATTTTGTTTCATCTGTGGAAGTACATTTTTAGTGGCTGGTTAATTATATCACTACACTCATTGCAGTGCTCATTTAAGCACTTGAAATGTATACAATGATTAAAATAAGATAGGGCACATTAACTAAATATTTGGCTTTTACGTAAGTGTTATAACCACATTGTTGACATTTAATACTGTTATAATACAACAGTTAAACTTAAGAATCTACAATAGAGAGCATCTGTAAACAGGCACAATGTTTAACATTAATGTTTTTTTTTTATTTTATTTAATGAACATAAATTTCCAAAGTACAGCTTATGGATTACAATAGCTTCCCCCCCCCATAACTTCCCTCCCACCCACAACACTCCCCTCTCCCACTCCCTCTCCCCTTCCATTCACATCAAGATTCATTTTCAATTATCTTTATATACGGAAGATCAGTTTAGCATATATTAAGTAAAGATTTCAACAGTTTGCACCCACATAGAAACACAAAGTGAAAATACTATTTGAGTACTAATTATAGCATTAATTAAACACCTAAGAGTAATTGTGTATTAATTACAGAGTTCAATCAATAATTTTAAGTAGAACATTAAAAATACTAAAAGGGTAAAGTATTAAGTTCTTTTTGTTTCTTTTTTTGTTTGTTATATAGTTATTTTTTTATTTAATAAATGTGAATTTACAAAGTGCAACTTTTGTGTTGTTGTGGCTTCCCCCCCCAACCTCCCTCCCTCCCGTGGCCCTCCCCTCTCGCACTCCCTCTCCCATCCTGCCCTTCATCGAGTTTCATTTTCAATTACCTTCATATACTGAAGATCAACTTAGTATATACTAAGCAAGGATTTCAACAGGCTGTACTCACACAACCACACAAGGTATAGGGTATTGTTCAACTAGTAGTTTTGTTTTTAAGTTTCATAGTAAAACACATTAAGGACAGAGATCCTACATGGGGAGCATGCACCCAGTGACTCCCGTTCTAACATTAATGTTAAAACCATTGTGACTTAGAATAAAAAAGGGAGAGAACAGTCCAACATGGGAAGTGAGATACACTAGACCCATAGAATGGCAGATGTCCTAAACAGCACTCTGGCCTCAGAATCAGCCCTTAAGGCACGCGGATCTGGCTGAAAAGCCCATGAGAGTATTTCAGGCATGGAAAGCCAGAACACTCTGGCAAAAAACAAACAAACAAAAAAACCTAAATGAAAGATCTCCACGAGTGAGATCCCAGTGGAAAGAACAGGTCATCAAAGAAGGAGATACCTTTCTCTGAAGGGAGGAGAGAACTTCCACTTTGACTACGACCTTGTCTAAATACGATCAGAGTCGGTGAACTCAAAAGGCTTCCATAGCCTTGGCAACTCATGACAAGAGCCTAGGGTGATTACTGATGCCATAAACAGGAGTGTCAATTTGTTAAGTCAACAACAGGAGTCACTGTGCACTTACTCCTCATGTAGAATCTCTGTCCTTAATGTGCTGTACATCGTGATTTAATGCTATAACTAGTACTGAAACAGTATTTTACACTTTGTGTTGCTATGTGGGTGCAAACTGATGAAATCTTTACTTAATATATGCTAAACTGATCTTCTGTATTTAAAGAGAATTGAAAATGAATCTTGATGTGAATGGAAGGGGGGAGGGAGAGGGAAAGGGGAGGGTTGCGGGTGGGAGAGAAGTTATGGGGGGAAGCCATTGTAATCCATAAGCTACTTTGGAAATTTATATTCATTTAATAAAAGTTAAAAAAAAAAGCACAACATTAAAAAAAAACCATTGTGACTGACAGGTGGGGATTGAAGGTAGCAAACAACATACTCAGCTCCTGAGTGTTTCAAGTTTTACAACACACATTGAAAATTATTTCTTCCATCAACACTATAACTTCAAACTCTCTATGTTTATGCATTTTTCAGGTTACACTGTTGTTTTCAGCCTTTTTCATTTTTTGGATCCTTTTAATGTTAATCTTACCAGTATACCAGTGGACAGTATTTTTCATAGTTTGACCCCTTCGAAAATACATAGGTTGTCTCTTCTTATAGTAGTGAAAAGTTAGTATCAGTGAATTCTGGTAGATTATGGTTGTTATATAAACAAAAAGTCTTTGAGAGAGTAACCCAGAGGCACTTACATTTTTAAAATGGCACTTTCAGCCTCAATGCCAAAAGGAAAGATTATAAATGTGTTTATGTTCATCATTAGAGAGGTGTTTACAGGAGTGAGACATAGTTTATTAACAGACAGTGCTATTCACGGGTACTGTTGGAATAGAGTTTGTAAGACTGATTCACAATTTATTAACACAGTCCTTTTTGTGTACATATATATATATAGACCAGATACCACTCACTTTAGGGAAGACACCTAGAAGGGTTTAAGTCATAAACTGACAACCATCTACATGAATGGGATAACTAGCATTTATGCATTTTCAGCAGGGAAGAAAACCAGAAAACAGCAATGCAGAAGTGGATCTTTGTTTTTTGTTTTTTGTTTTTTGTTTTTTCTTCTTAAAGCCTACATCAGGCCGGCGCCACAGCTCACTAGGCTAATCCTCCGCCTTGCGGCGCCGGCACACAGGGTTCTAGTCCCGGTCAGGGCGCCAGATTCTGTCCCGGTTGCCCCTCTTCCAGGCCAGCTCTCTGCTGTGGCCCGGGAGTGCAGTGGAGGATGGCCCAAGTCCTTGGGCCCTGCACCCCATGGGAGACCAGGATAAGTACCTGGCTCCTGCCATCGGATCAGCGCGGTGCACCGGCCGCGGCAGCCATTGGAGGGTGAACCAACGGCAAAGGAAGACCTTTCTGTCTGTCTCTCTCTCTCACTGTCCACTCTGCCTATCAAGAAAAAAAAAAAAAGCCTACAGCACCCAGTACTCCCAAGAATCTATCGAATCTATCTTTCTTAACACTGCTGGAAATTTGAATTGCTAGGAACATTTTTAGAAAGTATATAGAGCTTATAGGGCCATTCTGTTCATTGTTTCTTACATTTATCAGTCCCATTGTTTTTGTTCTGTGTGAAAAGATTGTAATATTTCCATATCTTCTCTGCTTCCTCATTTCCATGATGTTTATGCCATGATGAAGGAAAATTTGCTCTCTGGTGGCAATCTCCAAATGCTTTTCAAGCTTCCAATAGGAAAAATTCTCAATAGCACCACAGACTTGAATTGAGCACATTGCTACGTATTAGCCTGAACTGTGTCTTACACTCAGTCTTCTTCTTAAAAAAAAATTATTTATTTATTTGAAAGGTAGAGTTACAGAGAGGCAAAGGCAGTGAGAGCAAGAGATCTTCCATCCACTGGTTCATTCCCCAAATGGCTGCAATGGCCAGAGCTGGGCCAATCCAAAGCCAGGAGCCAGGAGCTTCTTCCAGATCTCCCATATGGGTGCAGCGGCCCAAGGACTTGGGCCATCTGCCACTGCTTTCCCAGGCCAAAGCAGAGAGCTGGATCGAAAGTAGAGCAGCTGGGACTGGAACCAGCGCCCCTGTGGGATGCCGGCACTGCAGGTAGCAGCCTTACCCACCATGCCACAGAGCCAGCCCATAGTCTTCTGTTTTAACCAAATAGTAGGTCAATTTCTAAAGCATTTTAAGTTTAAAAAAAAAAAAAAACTTTTGTTGCTTTACTCATCTACATATCTTTTAAATGACTTAGTTATTTCAATAGTTAAAGTACATTTATTTTTGCATGAAGATTCAGTTTTTCAAGTAATTACACTTTAAAGGAAAAATAGGAGATAAATGCCATGATATTGGTCTGCTCTTCAAAAGGCTGTGCCTTGAAGCATCTTTCTAATGCACTTTATGATGTTTTCCTCTCTTTGAAGAATACTTTGAAGATGTATATAACAATTTGTATGCTCTGGCCTGTTACTTCAATAATTCTGAGGACAAGTGGGTAAGGAACCATTTCTACCAACGATGTTTTAAGATCGCTCAACGGGTCAAAATTGATGGCGGGAAGAAGGAAGCCGAGGCGTATGCGCACATGGGTCTTCTCCATGAGGAAGATGGTGAGTGGGCATTTCCCGTGGCTTCTCTGGGTGTGCTTTGGAGGATGCTGTAACCATGCAACCAGGAAGCACGTAGGGGCTGAAAAAGAGACCTAAGGCTTCAGTGTAAGAGTGTACATTTTAGAGATCAAAAGGGCCTGAGAGGCGTGGCCTTGGCTTGAGCATCCCTTGCAGAATGCTCCTCGCAGAAGATTTGCTGGGCTCCTGCTTGAACCCACAGCACAGAGCTAGCAACAGCATCCTCACTAAGGCGTCCTCCCCCGGCCTTCCACACACATCGCTCAGGCCACTTGCTGTACCCTTGTGGATTTTGTTTTTCGTTCATGGCAGCCCTCTTTGTTGACTTTAAGTTGGTATCTCAGGAATGAAAATGGGAAGAATGGAAAAATATATTTCGTGATTTTCCTAATGCCCCATATCAGCTATGTAAAAGCCAACATATATAAATCAGGTACCACTCCAGCGTGAATTTAAATTAAGGAACTGTTCTTTTAAATATAATTTTCTATCTAGTGTTATCTTTTTTCAAGAAAAACAGATTGATTTATTTGTTTGAAAGGCTGACTTATGGAGAGGGAGAGTCAGCGGCAGAGAGAGAGATCGTCCCTCCACTGGTTCACTCCTCAAATGGCTACAAGAAGCCAGGAGCCCAGAGCTTCATCCGGGTCTCCCATATGGATGCAGGGGCCCATGTACTTGGGCGATCTCCCACTGCTTTCCCAGGTGTGTTAGCAGGGAGCTGAATCAGAAATGGAGCAGCCAGTGTCATGTGGGGCTTCACTCACTACACCATGGTGCTGGCTCCCTCAATGGTATCTTAAGAAAAGCCAAAGTCTAAAAGAACAGCAACAATATTGTTAGATATTATATAATGGTGGGTCAATAATTGCAAATAAGAATTTAAAAATTAAAATTATTTTTGGAAACACAGTGTGTAAATATGCCAAGAAAATATAAGAGAAGATAAAAATATTTTGTTATAAATAATGCTGTTTCTTCCCTCAAAAAACCACTATTTTCCAAATGATTTTTTTACTTTTGCAGAACAGTTAGATTTGAGAATATTTATTATTTTGTGGTTAGGATTGCATAGGACATTGGAAAATGGAAAAAAAAAGAAGCAATAGGGGAGGAGCTGTGGTCTAGGAAGCCATAGCTACTGAGATTATAACTTAAGTAAAGCATGTGGAGCCTCTGAGCATGTCCAAGGACCAGCAAGAAGGCCACTGGGACTGGAGCTGTGTCCATAAGGTGGAGTGGAAGGAGCTGAAGGTAGACACAGAGGCTTGGCATGGATTTCTTGAGAGTTTGGAGGCCACTTTGAATTTTATTCCCAATTATGTAGGAATCCATAAATATGCATTGATTTGAGAAAATTCTCATGATACCTTAAGTAGAAAAATAAGGCACAATGTAAAAAACATATAAATATATTTATATAGAGAATATATAACGCATAGCTCACCTAGTTAATTGGTTATTTCTGAGGGTGGTAATTATAAGTGATTACAGAATTATGCACTGAAGAGATGTTTCTCCTTGTAGTTTGAGAAGTTATTAGTTAAACTTTTAGCCTGTTAAAAATACACTTTTGTTTTTTGAATTGTCAAAAGGGCATAACATTTTGCTTAAGTAAAATTCTTGATGATGTTTTTAAAAATTGCTATTATCAATTCACAGGTGAGATAAAGTTTTTTAAGTTTGAAAAATTATGATTTTCCTCCTGAGGCTGAGGAAACTGGGCACAAGGAGGTTGAGCTGGTTAATGGTGGAATTAGTATTAACTGGTCAGCTAACTTCAGAGTCCATGCTAATAGCCACTGCTCTGTGCTAAAGATTGCATTACTTCTGTACTGTACTAATTTTGAAGACTGCTGACTACAAGGCTTTTGCCCTTCTCTGTTCTCTGTTGTAGTAATAACCCTCCTCCAATCAAGTAGAAAAAAATTTTGTTTTTATTTTATAATTAAGCCAATGAAAATCTGTCACCTGCAAAAGCAAATCAGATAATCATCTGTCAATTATTGGCCCACCAGAATAAATCATGCATAATACTTGAAAAGAAGGACTGAAGAACTCAGGGCCATACTGTTGAGAAGTGAACAGTGGCCACAGTGAGAATCAGATCATTCATTTTCATAAGTGTATTGTGAATATTTTTATAACTTCTATTTCTGATTTTTAAAATCTGTTTGCTTAAAATGTTTTTACTGTGGTAAAAATGTGTGACATAAATCTTGGACATCTGAACCATTTCTCAGTGTACAGAGTTCAGTAGTATTAAGTGCATTCAAATCGCTATGTAGCCAATCTCATAACTTTTTCTTCTTAACAAAGCTGAAACTCTATACTCGATGAACAACTGCCCATTTCCCTCTCCTTCTGATTTTGTAAGGTCTGTAAATGCTTTTCTGTTGGAGGATTTATACATTGCTTATTTTATTCACATATCATGTGTTCAGACTCTCATCAACAGTTCTTGGAGTGCTCCCTGATGATGCCCATGTCATTTTAGTGTTGGGCACACAGAGCTGAGAGAAGGATGAATTTGGGAAATGTTAGTGGGGTGGTGCCGCTGTGAAAGTCCATTCATATTTGCTGTCATTTAGATGTTCCATCCTACAGCATGATAAAATTCACCCATAATCCATAATAAATAAAAAGTGTTGGTTATAAAATTGGTTTTTGACTTGGAAATTATTTTTAAGCTAGAATGTTATTTTGCTTTGGAATCACCTTTTGGGAGATCTGAAGTATTTTTCTTGTCCCTTAAAATGTGCATGGATTCTAGAACAAGGCCTATTGCCTGATGGATAAAACAACTGAGCCAGTGTTGATGAAAATTCTAGAGGTTGGCTTTGAGTGTTTGATGTATGTAGTGATGGTGAAAATGACCAGTGTAGCTTTTGTGGTTGGGGTAGAATTTACAAGACGACTGAACTAGGAATATCAAGAATAGAGGCTACAGTGTAGTGATGACTCACCTGGCTGTAGGGTTCCCACTGAGGTGGCCATGCTGTAGCTTCTGCATATCTGACCTGATTGGTCCAGACAAGCGAATGGAAGCCCCACAGCAACAGCTAGGCAGCAGCTGTGCCCAGGGGCAGGTGGTAGCATCCTGATTCCATGGGTGCCCCATGCAGGTTAAAAGAGGATATTAGCTGGCAGATGGCAATGGGCAGGTTGTCCGGGCCCAGCCAAGCGGGCTAGAGTCCAGGGCAGGACTCCAGCTCCCTCAGGGAACTGTAGAGCAAATGAGGTACATGAGCAGAGCCACAGTCACAGAGACCTGGCACATGGCTGTAGCCAGGGGTAATGCTCAGCCTGATGGCACACATGTGGCTAGAGTCTCACCCAGAGCCCGCTGGTCAGAGTTCAGCACAGGTTCACCTCCCACTTGCTGCTAAAGGTAGGATCCTGCTATACACTGTGACCTGGTTTCCATAGGCTAAGGCTGGTAGTCTTGTTTGTCGGATGAAATATCTTCAGACCTATAGCCAAAGTAGCAGACATGAAGGAGTTATAGACTGACAAACACTCACAGCAAAACAGTGGCTGTATCTTCTTCCAGCATTTTGACCTTATTTGTAAAGATCTCATGGAAACGGGACAAATGGGCAGGCAGGGTTCACACCGTGTCTATGGAGGACTGGAGAAAGCTCTCAGACATTGGACCAATAGGAAATAAGCTCATTCCTGCTAGAGCAGCACACAGAAGTCTGAAAGAGTCAGACGGCTGACCTGGGAGAGAGAACTTTTTAAGAGCCACAATTAGGGACACAGCAGCTCCTCCTCAGTGTGATCTGAGATCAGGGCACAATAGCAAGATGATGTGGAAGAGCCTTAACTTCAGTCCTATCCTTCCAGGCCAGCATTAGTGGTTGGATGCAGCCCCAGCATGCTCCACGGCATGACGAGGGGACTGAAGTCCAAGTTTTGGAGTTGCAGCTTTTTTGGTGGAAGGCAAAGGGGATGCAAGCCAGCGGCAGAGTTCATGGCATCAGCATCCCTTGTTGAAGAAGCACAGCACTTTCCTCCTCTTTTCCACCAATGATTTAGGAACTAAATCAAATCTTTGCTCATTAGTCTCAAACACTGAGAACAGCTGGTTTCCATGGTGCCTCAAATGAGGCCAGTGTCTTTCATGGGAGGCTAGACTGGAAGGACTTGAGTAAGTTAATGCTTTGTTCCAGTCCACTATTTTGTTCTGTGCTTCCTCCCTCAATTTCCTTATGTGTCTTCTAAGTGTCTTCTCCTGCTCCAGAACCAGCTCATTACATTGTAAGCCATCATCTTCCAGTCTAGGGATGGGTTTTGCTCTGAGAGACTAGGAGAATGATTAGATGTTCTTCTGGGCAGTTGAAGTTGGGTGATAACCTGTGGGTACTGAGCATGTTCACTGAAGGCAAGTAAGGGAGGTCGTTGTCAGCACAGCTTGGGAAGTACCTACCCTCCAGTTCAAAAGAGCCTCATGTTATATTATCGTAGGGGTTGAGTAAGGGCTAACCAGGATCTACAACATTGCTCACAAGTCCTTCCAGTGGCTGGGAAATTTCTGAATAGAGTCGTCCTGGTTAGCTTTGCTCTCTGTTCCTGTCAATTCCATGGACACAGACGAGATGGTGTATCTCAGTGTGGATTTTCAGAAAGCTAGTAGGTCCCAGGAGCAGCACAGTACTGTGAAGACACACTGGAATCACTACAGGCTCACCCCTGAAACACCCAGTAGTGGAAGACAGAGCCAACAAGAGATTTCTGGGGGATGCCACCACTGTGAGGTTCTGTCTCCTTTACCATTTTATGTTTCAGATTGGAGTTAGAATTTGGGAGCCCATTTGTTGATGGTTAGCATCTTCCTCTATCTCCTCCACCCATTCCTTAAGGATCATGGGAAAAATGTCCCTTTCCATGGTTCATGGGGTTTTTTCCCCCATGAATTTTATGAGAAACAGCGGTTCAGTTTTCCTTTCAGTGAAGTATCCATGCCATCTTAGGCACAA